ATTGCTTATACACATACCCTGTGGTTGAGAAAGGATGTAGAGTCATAACCATAATGTCACCTACAGTGACACAGTAACAATGTTATCTAAAGTGACACAGTAACAATGTTATCTAAAGAAACACAGTAACAATGTTATCTAAAGTGACACAGTAACAATGTTATCTAAAGTGACACAGTAACAATGTTATCTAAAGTGACACAGTAACAATGTTATCTAAAGTGACACAGTAACAATGTTATCTAGTGACATAGTAACAATGTTATCTAAAGTAACACAATAACAATGTTATTTAAAGTAACACAGTAACAATGTTATCTAAAGTGACACAGTAACAATGTAAAGTGATACAGTAACAATGTTATCTAAAGTGACACAGTAACAATGTTATCTAAAGTGACACAGTAACAATGTTGTCTAAAGTGACACAGTAACAATGTTGTCTAAAGTGACACAGTAACAATGTTGTCTAAAGTAACACAGTAACAACACAATAACAATGTTATAACAATGTGTCTAAAGTGACACAGTAACAATGTTGTCTAAAGTAACACAGTAACAACACAATAACAATGTTATATAAAGTGACACAGTAACAACACAGTAACAATGTTGTCTAAAGTAACACAGTAACAATGTTGTCTAAAGTGACACAGTAACAATGTTATCTAAAGTGACACAGTATCAATGTTGTCTAAAGTGACACAGTAACAATGTAAAGTGATACAGTAACAATGTTGTCTAAAGTAACACAGTAACAACACAATAACAATGTTATCTAAAGTGACTCAGTAACAACACAGTAACAATGTTAGTTTTTACCTCCAGTTATAAATGAGGTTTTTAATAATCAGCTATAAGGATTTACGACATATTTCAAAAGGCCGAAGTTTCTCTGTAATGGAGACTAAAATTACTGTAAAGGTCTTTTGTAAGTTAATTCTAGAATACACTGGTTGAGATTATCATATACGAAATCCTATATTATTGAAATGGTACATATCTCATATATGACTAGATAAAAGCTGCATATTTTTTTTTTAATTGAAGTGACTAATACCTTATTCAATTTCAATAATGGTGCATTTAATTTCTAAGTGCTGTACTGTTTAGCGTTGTCATGTATTGGATAACTAAGGTACAATATCAGTGTTATCAGTGGAGACAGAGACAAGATAAATGACAGAGAGGAGAAAGGGAGACAGATCAACTGCCGACTGTGGGAGCTAACACTGAACAGTCGACATCTCCCAAACAGCAAAACCGAGAGTGATTTGCACCGCCAGAGATCAATAACCTGATCTGTACAGCTAGACAATAAGGCTATTAGCTCGCTTTTAATAAGTCATAATTAATAGTCGATTGTGTCGTGGCAAGGTCAATAAAATTACACAGGAGTATGATAAAGACATGATACTGGATATTAAACTGACAGATCTTACCAACAATTTATGTACTTGAATATATGTAACACTGTATCATTCCATTAACCTTGGATTCTCCAACAATAAAACCTACTTCACACTGCAGCAACAATCATAACTTCTAACAAAAATAAACCCAATTTTTTTATTTTGTGAGAATGACATTTTGAGATAATGACAGTACTGTACTTATGTGAATGGATACCAAACAATCATATTATCAATATAATATCTTTCTGTCCTGATCATGTTATTATAATACAATGACAAACTGTCTACTATATCCACACAAACAGTTTATCTCCCTTAAAGCAAGATGCACACGAGACATTTTAATAAGTGTTTTTGTATTTATTGTGAGCGCCTCACCCAGCTGCTGAGATTAATAAACTACCGGGATACCTTCAATCAGACAACAAAGGTGCTAAAAACTTCAATTATCTTAATTACGTGGGCTACAAAATATGATATTTACTACTGTTATTGGGCAGCAAATGACATGCCCTGATCATACCGTCATAGCAATGAATATTGCAGGCAAGGCTATTCCTGCGGGGAAATGACAAAAGAGTTCAGTAGACGAATGGGCGCCCAGACATAATGTATCTCAGTATGAACTCTAACTGCTCAATCATGCATGTCCTATGACGATAAAATTCAAGCAAAACCAGATCTACAAACCACAAATTAAATATGTTTAAAACGTTAAAAAACAGATATTTACTAAGTTGCCACAAAGATGCCAGACTAATACCACTCATTATACTGATAGATAATACAACATGATAAGACATGATAAATATGATTTATCAGCTACAGAAAATATCCACATGAACGTCATTTGTTAAATTTTCTATTTTACCCTAAATATTTTATACGGGTCATGTCTATAACCATTACATGGGTTTAGGATACAAGGTGGTATACAAAGGCTTCCTAAAAGTTAAGATTGAAAATTAACACTTTACATCTGAAACGTGATATCCAGGATTAAAAATAAATTGGAGATTTAAAAAAAAAATTGTTTTTTTCTGTTTTTAGATTAAGAACACTATCGATTATCTATTAATGTTGAATCTCATTGTTCTTCATTACAGTGATTTGGTAATTCTACCAATCAAATGTAAAAGATGAGAAAAATGTGACAGTGTGTATCTGTTACGGTTAAACACAGCGATGATGACCAGTATAGAGAAATGTCAGAGTAGATAGACACTTCATTTGGCGATGCATCTTTACAGATTATGGGTCGGATCAATATTTACGGCATGCAGACTCCGAAAAGTGATGATATGTGTTTCAGCCACACTGTGGAAATGGCAGTCGCTGGAGTTGGAGCAATTTCAGAGACTTTCTCGTCAGTGTAGATCTAGCGACAACAATTGGCCTGGGCGGCTCGCCCATATCTTTCATTGATCGTTAGAACAGCCTAGCATTACCTCCATCCCGACTAGGTACCATGTACTGTGGCTTAATACTTCACATAAACTACTTCATGAAATATTTATGAAGTACCATGGGGGCTTGTGCCTTCCAAGAAAATAACAAGCTATGTAAAATGTGTATGATTTTTCAAGACAAAAAAAAAAAATTATGAATAAATGATCTGATCAGGCAGACTGATAGCTTTGCGTGAAATTTGTCGTCATATCATGAACAAAACTAGGTAAACTTTCAAACATTGTGACTCTTTTCCGTTTCTAGATTGCATATTTATTACAACATAAATGTAGAGTTACAAAGTCATAAAATCCCTTAATAGCTTTCAAACCCAGCATTTTATCATTTCTAGATACGAGATACACAGTTCTCCATGGAGCTAAATGTCACACTTCTAAAAATGGGCACAAAGTTATAGTCTACAGGACAGTTGGAGGGTTATCAGATTTTGTATGCAGCTCATTTTTATCATTCATGTACAGTTTGAAATACCAGTTAACAATGACATTGAAATGAGTCAAAAGTTCAAGTGCGGTTACCCAAAACAATAAGTATGTAGTTATTAAATATTTGGTAAATCCATACTCTGATTATAAAGTTGTAAAAAGTAGACGAGAAGAAAAAGAAATCCTTAGCTAATAAAAGAAAAAAACATCTGTATTTATCAAATATAAAAAACAAAAACTACAAATGTGATGAAATATTAAACCAGATGGCATATATATTACATTCAAAGTGGTATACAGTCTGAGTTCAATGTAGCAAATCAAATCGTCTGTAAATAATTCACTGTCACAGAATAATACACTAAGTTGAACGCCTTGCATCTAATGTAATTTATATATATATATATATATATCTATAGGATCTTACATCAAGATTTCTTTTGATATGCAAACTAAGAAGATTTTATTAAGCGAACCTTTGACGAGCTAAAAAAAAAAAAATTATGACTGGTTTCACAAATCACATATGAAAAGAAACAAATTGATAAGATCATTTTTAATCACATGATCACTTTTATCAAGCACGATAGAAAACGAGCATTTCTATGTCAAACTTGAATGATTCATTGTCTCCATTGTTACAATGTTGTTATATTATAAAAATTGAGGTCATGATATTACATACATTTGTATGTGTGATATGGAAAAAATATGACATGGGTTTATTCACTGTGTGATAAAGCCTGTTATAGAACTTAATGTCTTGACTTTGCAAGACATAACCATTGATACAGGTGTGTGATAGATATCGCTATCATTGCTGTCTAGTCTACATTTCTCTCTAACTCGGTTACAATGATGCCAAACAAAGATGACAATTAGGTAAGACTGAGAGCCTGATTTTGTCTCAATGTCTACTTACATGACCCAGACTATCTACAAGGTCGTCGCAGTCAATCATTGCTCTGACTCATAAGAACAAAGCTATACAGTAATTATGTCTATATAGCAGAGATACAAGGGAGATTTCTAGCAAAGTCTGCTCTCACTTTCTGTTGTATTTATCTATAGGAACAATTTTCAAATTAGCAATAAATATTGCCTTAATGTGATAATTTTATGATGCCTTTCTGATACAGCATTGGTCTATCTGTTTCCCAGACCTCTGTCATGTAGACACATTAACACACTGATGTTGTGGCGAATGTGTTGGTATCACCAATAACTGCTCTTATATCTGGGTCGGCCATTCAATGTTAATTCAGTTGATCCAGTCTCTTGGTAAATTTAACAGTTCCCCACAGAGCTGGTACTGGCTTATCACAACATCACCACTATTCTTAGATTATGTCCATTTTATTGTCTTTTTGATCTATATTGTTTTGATCAGACGAAACATCAAATCAGGTGAAATTTTCCACCTGTAGAATACACTTAAGGATGCACTGTCATCCCTCTCTCAGACAGCTGAGCGACCAAAACTCTTAGACGATCCCCATACGCCAGGCTAAATGATGGTGTACTTTTAGTATGGTGTGTAAAATAAAATGTCTTGATATATTCCAGCTACCTCACAGTCTAGTTACATATGGATCAAAATTCAAGAATATTTCCGAGATGTCTTTAACATTTACAGAAGTAGAATTATGAACCTCAGCATTCAAATCTCAGGGAAGTAAAGTACACTTACCATGGTGGAATGCTCTAGTACAGAGATGCCTTCCTCCTGGACAGCTAGCCACACCTCATCCTCAGGGGTAGGAGACGTCTTTAACTGTAAAACAGATCATACACAATTTACAGTCACACCTCATTCTCTCTGTGAGGTAAAGGAATTTGGAATATTTGCATGGTTTTTTTTTTTATATTTTTTTATTTGTTTTGGGTTTTTGTTACCATTTTTATAGAAATATGATTTTCTTGTACTTACTTTTGTGAAGAAAAGTTTGGCACCACAGAATGGCCACTTCCTGACCACAGCAAGGTAGACTCGGACACAGTCCTGAGGAGACCGGCCTCTCAGAGACACCCATCTTTCCAACAGTTTGGACACTGTTGATCTGGAACAAAGTTCATATCAAAAGTATATAACGAAGAATGTATAAGGTTGATACCATTAGTAATTTAAGGTCAAGGTCATTACCATGCATAAATATAGCTTGTAGCTGGTGTCATGCTCATTGTCACCAGTAGTAGTTAAGGACTGGTCAAGGTCAGTACTACAATTAGCTAGGGAAAGCAGTTTAAACTTACCGGTAGTTATTAACTAGGCTAAAGGTTATTACTTGTAATACTACCTATGGGTCAAGGTCATTACAAATACAATATTTCACCAGGTATATAAGGCCCTTGATGAAAGAAAACAAGAGGCCCATGGGCCTTAATGGTCATCTGACATAAAATACAAGATTTCAAATTTTGAACTTATTTCACCTGGATTTAAGAATCAAGGGCACTCAGCCACCACCTTGAAAGTGGGTTAAGGTTATTCTTTTTAACAAACTTCATAAACCTTCATCCCAGGATGCTACAGGCCAAATATTATCACCCCGGATGTTCTGGTTATTCAGAAGATGTTTGAAGTAACAAACTTTGGTTAGTGCCATGTCATGATCATTTCATGCAAGTTTTGGCTCAATCGCACTTGAACTTGAGAAGAAGTCGAAAATGTGTTTTCAAGATGGCGGCCATGATGGCCATGTTGGATTTCGGACCAACCCGAAATTAATAAACTTTGGTCAGGGTTATGTCACGATCATTTCAGTTAAGTTTCAGCTCAATGAAACATGAAGAACTTGAGAAGAAGTTGAAAATGTTTATGACAGAAGCCGGACAAAAGGCGATCGCAAAAGGTCATCAGACCCTGCGGGTCAGATGACCTAATTACCCAAACTTCTTATTTTTCACATTTTGAAATACCATAAAAAGATTTATGGATAGGCTTACTCAAACTGATGGGCACAGACTGATCATGGACAGAGTGATCTTAAAAAGTTTTACTAAATATATTATACCACTTTATGAAAAGCTGTCTTATCCAGTTTTCAGCAATAATTGGACTTTGTCAAGGAAGAAGTGAAGTTTCAACTGTGTTATGTACATAATCTTTACATGTGTTAAACAATTTTTTTCTCTATTTTTTTGAGCTTTAGCAGTTGATTGGCATGAAGAGTTGATGAATTTCATTCATAAACAAAAAAACATGAAATGTTGGTGATAACTTTTTACAGTGAAGTATGCTCTTCTTTCTCCATTTCAATTATTACCTGTGTGATGCTGCAGAGGAAGATAATCATTATTGTTTCAGTAATTAAGTAATTATCGTGTAAAAATAGCTTGTCTGACATTTACTCTGTTAGCAGCCAACAGCAAGCATCTCTAAAACTGAAGCAGAAAATAACAGAAAGCATCCCTGAAACTAGGGTAGTCAAAAATATCTACAGGGGATTGCAGTGCCGTGTTTTGTCTTTGCAGTTATTATATATGTGACGATTCAGCATGGTAGAATCATATTTGATAAACAATAATGTTTATGATAATTTCATTTCAAAATTGTGAAAGGAAAAATTCAATTCAGTGCTTTAACTTAAACTACATCCATCATGACAGATAAAGCTTACTGAAAAATTCTAATTGTGATCACAAGAAAACAAGCAGAACTAAATAAAAAGAAAGCCAGACTGAGAAAAATAATATACAATTCATCATGATTTCAGACACAATAGAACTTATGCAGAAGAGAATTGTTCAGACATTTTTCAAGGTCAATATCAGAGCCAGGCATATACCACTGATCTAATTTACAATCACCTCAGGGACAAATGCAATAATTCTGGTTACAAGTCTCGGGGAGGGGGGGTCTTTCTCTGATTTCCCTGGAAATATTGATTGGGAGCAAAAAAAAAAAAAAAAAGGTCAAGGTCATCATCAGCAGTATAGAAAAGAAGGGTCAAGGTGATTGATGAATATCATTGGCTGTAGTTGTAAGGGATAACAAATGATGACACTAAAGTACCAAGGAATTCATATCAGTTACTAGATTTGATTGTGAGATCAATTAAAATGTGACTGAAAAGAGATCATTGGTATATAACATGTTTTATGCATACCATTTACATAGCCTCAGGCAACCCCCTACCTTTGTTCATCCTCAGAGGCTTGGCTGTACTTCCGGGGATAGAACCGGTCAAGGACTGTAGTCAGCTGTTGGGCAAGGTTGGGTTGGTAGGGAGGGGCAGCCCCGCCCACCTGACTAGACTCATTAGACAGCTTTACATCTCCAAACTCTATCTGTAAAATATCAATTCATCAACATCAATTATCTATTCTGACATAACAAAACAGTATTATAAGAATGGTGATGAAACAGTGGACCAGGAAGCAGTGAGCCTTAAATATAACTGTTTGCAATAGTGTTTACTTGTTGACAGCTGTTTCTTTTATACATAATCATCTCCTTAATAGCTCAATGGGTGGTCGTCGCTCTTTAGTGCACATCTGTGTTCTCATTATTTAGAATGTACAAGCTCAATTGTTGTGTTGGTACAAACCACATAACCACCTACTGAAGAACTAGAAAATGTCTGTAGGATGTGAATGCCCTTGCTTCCACAAATAAAATGAACAATGTCTGACAAATTTCTGTAAATAATAATGGTGACCTTGACCTTGTAACCCTGAAACTCATCTTAAGTATGTCAAAGGACCTTTGCATATAGTTTGACAGAAAGCCCCTAAGAACTGAAGTTGCTAGAACAATGACACCAATTCCAACAGTATGGAATGTGATGCAACACATGAGATAAGTTAACATAGGTAACACTACATGCCCCCTGACCAAACTGTTGCTTTCAGCCTCAGACAATAGTTTAGTCCTCTGGTTCAACATAACACATGTTGACCTCAAACCCAATCAATTGATTTATAATATTTTGTACAAATACATGTATTATCCTGTATTGGTACTCCTCTTTCACAAATTGACATTAAATATTTCCAACTCCCAACTTAAATAATTCCAACTAAATGACAAAAAAGGCAAGTGAAGCATTCAGTATAAGCTTTGACTATGTTTATTTTCCCAGAAGTGAAATGTTACTGATAAAGTCATTCATGACCAGAGAATTATGGCAAGGAGCCATATGGGCCTGGTCATAGATACCAATTTAAAGTGAATTAATTTTAACAACAGTTTAATGTTCTCTAAATAGCTAGGATAACATATTACAGTGCTCAGGTGACACAAATTGTTGTATCAAAAGGTTTCCCATTCATATTGACACTCCAGAAGTATGAATGTCATGTCAATATGATGAAACCATGTCATCATTGTAAAGCTTACCATGTCCCATGTCATAGTTATACAACCTACAATGTCCCATGTCATAGTGATAAAGTCTACAATGTCCCATGTCATAGTTATACAACCTACAATGTCCCATGTCATAGTGATAAAGTCTACAATGTCCCATGTCATAGTTATACAACCTACATGTCATAGTTATCCTACAATGTCCTTACAATGTCCTATATCATAGTTATACAACCTACAATGTCCCATGTCATAGTTATAAACCTTACAATGTCCCATGTCATAGTTATACAACCTACAATGTCCCATGTCATAGTTATACAACCTACCATGTCATAGTTATAAAACCTACCATGTCCCATGTCATAGTTATACAACTTACAATGTCCTATATCATAGTTATACAACCTACAATGTCCCATGTCATAGTTATAAACCTTACAATGTCCCATGTCATAGTTATACAACCTACAATGTCCCATGTCATAGTTATATATCCTACAATGTCCCCATGTCATAGTTATACAACCTTACCATGTCCCATGTCATAGTTATAAAGTCTACCATGTCCCATGTCATACTTATACAACCTACCATGTCCCATGTCATAGTTATACAACTTACAATGTCCCTTATCATAGTTATACAACCTACAATGTCCCATGTCATAGTTATTAAGTCTACCATGTTCCATATCATAGTTTTACAACCTACAATGTCCCATATCATAGTTATACAACCTACAATGTCCCATATCATAGTTTTACAACCTAAATGTCCCATGTCATAGTTTTACAAACTACAATGTCCCATGTCATAGTTATACAACCTTCAATGTCTCATGTCATAGTTATAAACCTTACAATGTCCCATATCATAGTTATAAAGTCTACAATGTCCCATATCATAGTTTTACAACCTACAATGTCCCATGTCATAGTTATACAACCTACAATGTCCCATGTCATAGTTATAAAGCCTACAAATGAATTATTCAAAGCCAAGCAAATTTTAAAGACAAACAGATATAGACACTGCCAAACCATGTTTTCAGAATTCAATTTGATGTTGTTTTATCAATATTTACTCTCATCATGATAATATTATACAGTTTACAGTATCTTGCATCATTTATGACCAACTTAGTCAAATCTCATTTTACATGCAATGATATTTATGTTCCAATTTAAATTCTGTTCACATATTCAATATCTTAAGCAATCTTCGAATATGTATCATTTTATGGTTATGAATGTCTTTCATCAAAATCACAACACAATACATTCAAGGTAAATGCCACGATTAACAAAAGGTCAAAATGCAGATTGTCCTTGGTGGAAACCTACATATACTAATATATTACTACATTACAGACATATAAAACTGAATACATCATGACTAGACAAATAAAATTGTCAGAAATATGATCTATAGCATCACTTAAACCATGGCCATAATTAAATTCCTATAGCTTAATCAGACTGCATTTCTAAGTTAATACTGTCAAATTGACACAAATTTTCTATCTTCTTCAATCCTTGTAATCTAATTCAAAATTAAAAAAAAAAACTTCTTGAAAAGAAAGAAATTGATTTTTTTAATTTACAACAAGAAGATTAATCATTTTTATCAATTAATTATCTTTCCCAATTCCATATTGATTTTGAAATTGAGAATTAGAGGCCTTCTTTAAATACCTGATGTGTTTAAAGTCACAAGAAACAAAACCATATTTCAATCCCATTTCCATGTATATATGTAAGATCTACAACACTTGTCAATTTATGATCAGCAGTATTTTTTTTATTAATGCTGTACATTACTGAATAATCATAATATAATTACATTAATGTGATCAAAAAGTTGTACTTGTTCAGTCTGTTTTCAATTTTACAGTAATATACTGTATGATGATAATACATTACAAATAAATTCTTTCTATAATTAACTGTCAGAGAAAACAAAAAAATTTGTTTACGCTCCAAAATCAAATAAGAAACGACAGCAGATGCTTTGAGAGACAAGTATTACTAAAATCTCCCGTAAACACACAGTCCACACTGCATGAAAAAGTGAACATTATGTTAGATCTTTATCATCATGAAACGTCGAAAGCTGATTGTGTGGAAAAACATGTCTACATGTGTATGTAAGACTGCAATATTTACTGCTGCAGTCAAGGGGCTCAGACATCTCAAAGGTACGTATCTAAACACAAAGACAGGTGAGGAGAGTCCAGACACCAACGCAGTGCTGTGGTTGTGTAACATGTAACGCAAAAAAACTACAATCCCACAGACCGTATGAACGCAATGCAATAAACATAGATGTGGTAAATTTATGGTATTACCTTCTATGTTGAGATAGGTGCCCATCTATTATCAAGACTATCACATGATTTTTTTGCCTGTTTTTCAACAACATTCAGCCAAATATACCCAGCAGCTAGCAATCTTAAAATACCAGTTTTGATCAAGCTTGTTTTGATGGTCAAATCTCATATCGCAAACATACTAAATTTTCCTCTTTAGGAAATTTTAAAGCATTATTGTTTTTTGGCAAATAAGTGGATTATTTCCAGTATCAAAGGAATTAATTTGTAAGTAAGTATTCATAAACTACAGGAAGTGTAATAATATTTTAACACAATACTTTCAGTGCAAAAAATGCAGTAATAAGATACCACTAAAATGTGTGTGTTTACAGTATAGCAGTACATTAGTGATGTACTGTAAAACCTTACACCCGGTACAGTTTCATAGATGTAATGGTAGAGCTGCTGTATCACCATTTTGTAGTGTGCTCCCTTCTGATATCTGCCGAAGCAACTTCCTGCTGTGGGTGAAAGTAAGGCACAGTTCCTCGTAGTTAGACATTGCAAGTTAGGCACTGGAGAAACACCATTGTTAGTCGGCTAGCAATCTCTAATCAATGTATCACAAGATCCTTTTATCAACATTGCAACATCAACTACAGTAATTGAAATTCAGAAGTCTGTTTCATCTCCATGATGATCCATATTTCAAAGATGGAGAGTGACTATAAAGTGCTGCAAATAAAGAGCTTGCAAGTCTCTGGATAACAGATATTCCATGTAAAATTAATTAAAATTCAAAAGAATTGAAAGTGAAATGTAAGAAATGCATTTACACTTACAGCCTTACAGACCACTTGGGACCGTGAAAACCGGAGAAGATCCAAAGGCTTACTATGTAAAATTAATTACCATTCAACAGAATTAGGTGGTTCAGACAAGCTAAGGAGTGTAATGTCTTATCTCTGTTAGTCCCCAGATACAGACACCGACACGAATCTCAAAGTTATAACTGAAAATTTTAATTACCAATAAAATAATTTGTACAAAAATTGTGATTAAGTGTTGTTTGACTTTTACATATGTATTCCACCGAGATGAAATAAAGGAGTTTAAATGCTGATAACTGTTAGAAAAATATTCTCACGATTATAGAAAAAAAACCCATTGGAAACTTGCCTGACCAGGTATTATATAATCTGATGGGCTTCATTTAAATCTTTTGGGAAATAAGATTTTGATTAGAATCTAAAATCACAATGAATCAAGAGTATTGATCTGGAAGTAATTGAACTGTGTAACACAACATGAGGGATCAGAAATGGGGTCAAGGTCATTCCAGTAAACTTGAAACTTTCTAAGATATGAGACTGTAAGTGAATTTTTGTGTCAATCCTCAGCAATATTAGCTATGTAGATTTAATGTATATTTGATCAGTAGTAGACTAAATTTCTTTGGATACACAAATGGTGAAGAACACATTTGGGTGGTGACTTTTAATGTGTGGTAATCATTCAAGACCAGACACATTTCAGTTTTAAAACACACCTGGTCTTCAAGGTAGATATTAATGAAGCTATACAAAAGTCTGTTACAAAACTCTCCACATTCTCTGGATTGCCTACAGCAACAATCTACAATGTACTGACGGTGTTTTTGCATGT